TTGCAAATTGATTCATATACAGTATATCTCTCTATTTAGGCAAATATATCTGTAATGGATCTCTCAAGTATTTTAAAAGATCCGGAAAATTCTTATCCTATAATTAATGGCTCAGATGACGATATTACATCATCTATTTTAAATGATCCGAGAAATTCTTATCCTATAATTAATGGCTCAGATGACGATATTATATCATCTTCTGGAAATAGCGAAGTACAGTCACAAGACTCACCAGCGACTACGTTATCTACATGTGAATCAGATAACAACAAAACTGTTAATATGAAATCAATGAGTAGTATGCCTTTTGAATCGACAGCCAAAGGAAGAAAGTATATTAACCATGATCTAGCAGACGAGGTGTTAAAGCCATACCAAATACACATTCTTCCCGATCACAAACTAATATACGATAATGTTGATGTTATGGAATTCGCACGCTCAATCATGAAAGCCACGAAAAAAATCAGGTATCAAAAAGTCCTTTATCCATTGGTATCATTGATATTCACAATGTCGAATGTCTTAAATATCTGCCTCAAATGTTCAAGGAATATATAGCAGATCAAGTGCAAGGTACTGACGATTCCATATATTTTTCAGAAGGGAATGTTATCAATAAATTTTTAGTAGATTGTGAAGAGGAAGTTTTAAAGTACCTAGAAAAGTTTGATAGCATTGATAGTTTAAGGTCATTAGAGGAGTGTTTAGATATAAATCGAATCAATCATTCTACCTCATCAAATGATCTCATTTATGCTGAAAACCTCTTTCTTCATTTCCTGTTCTTATACAAAAATGATGTACTTACACAATCTCTAATGGAAGCTGAATTTAACGCATATGTCTGGACACCAATGCTTAAAAATGCTTTCCTTGGAAAGACTGATTTGAGATTAAAATGTGGAGAAGTAGCGTCCAAGTCATATGATAAATTGAAAGAAATTTTAAATATTGTATACTTTTTTATTTTACTTGCTCGACCGCTCAATAATAAAGGTCTACTAACATTATATAAATATTTTTAATCAAAGTTTAGTAGGAATAGCCTATAGCTCTGAAGCAAATAAACTCATAAATAAATGCTATTCAGATAAAAAAATATTTTTAGAGATCAGTGTATAAAATTTAGACAAGTCATGTATACAAGTTATACTAAAAATAGAAAATTAATGCATGTATTACATAGTATTTCCATTTTTATAAATAATTTATCCATTTTTA